TCAGTTGATCTCAGTAGTTTATAATGAAAGAATGTCTCACAAACCTGACATAGCTCACTCTGATTGGACTGTTTAGTTCACTAAAGGGAGTCTTACACAGTGTTACATACACATTAGCTAGACACATCTAAACTGCAAGAAAGGACAACTACTTATTCAGTTTTTAAGTATTTAGATGTTCCAAGCAAATTAAGGCACCTGATAAATGACATATATTGCAGTTAACTAAGTTTTTTTTATCCATCACTACTGTGTGAGATAAGCTTAGACAATAATGTAGATTATCATCTGCAGAATTATAAACAATATCATCATGATCTAAATTCAGCTACAAAGTACTACACTGCAGAGGCTTAGCCAGTAGCATGCATTCTGCCTGTTAATACAACTACCATAAGATTACCACCTGGACCAGCTTCTTATATAACCTAATAATCTACAATGACAAACATATTCTACACAGACAGCAACACAGTTAAGAACCAGTGATTCTCCACATTTGTTTTATTGTTGTTCTGAACTGAAGCTGGCTCTCTTCTTCTGGACAAGCTTGTCCATTTTACTCTCATTTATATGCTTCATCTGGATATTCCCCAGAATTCCTCGCTAGACGGACAAATTCCGTTATAATCTATCCAAGTGGAGCTCAAAGTATGTGTGTTAATGAGGTGGTGTTGATTTTTTTTTGAAAATTACTGTTAAACTAAGCATAAATTTCACAAAAGGACATTTAAATAAAGGTAAAGCAATAATAAAAATAAATAATAAAAAATCACTGGCATGTGAAAGAGAACGAAAGAAAGATCATTTGCATAATTTTGGCGCTTATTTAAATTATCGCAATATCTGATACTATCATTTATCAGCCCAGGGCTACTGTGTGATACCGGTATGCCGATTTTCTAGTCTACTCAATATTTCATCCAGCACTAAAAATATTGTGTTTAAAAATATTTTACATTTATCCTTTAGTTAAGCTAACATGCCAAAACCCCCAACCCCTTCATCATTCAAGGGAAACGTGACAGCAGGTCTGCTGTGTACCTGTGGACCAAGAGCGGTAAGGATCCATTTGAATCTTGCTAAAGGTGTGGACGGCTTTCATTTCAAGCACCCAGTGACGGACTCAGTCGCCTTGACAGCACCCCCCCCACCCTTCCCCAAGTCTCTCCCCCCTCTCTGGGCTGCTAACAGGATTTACAGTAGTCAGCCTCCTGCCTGGCTTTGTGTTGAATTATGCATAATTGCGCTAGCGTACTTGCACACATGGCTACAAGCATGATTAGCATAAAAGCTCTCTGCTTTCCTTTTTTATTTAAAGGTGGGGTGGGGGGGTTGTTTTGTGTTTTCAAGTGAAAAAGAATGGCTAGTGATTTGTGGTAAATGTGTGGGAGAACTGTGTGTTCAGGGATGGGAGCCATGGGGTGTGGTAGCTAGCGTGTGAGGCTATATATAATGTTGTCTGGCCTCAGCTAAAACATATGGGCTCCCCAGCTGTTGTAAATATGCAAATTAAGGCCGAGAGCAGACCGACTGACCCAGACGTAGCATTCTACACAAGCTCCCTGCTTCAGAGATGGTCAGACAGAGTCCGGTCAGACAGAGACAGCGAACCCCAAACCCCAAAATATAACCCCCCACCACGTTCTAATTTAAACCCCCACAGCCTACAGCTCTGGGCAACGACAGAACGAGTGATGGAGAGACTGTTTCTCAGCCAGTAATGGACGCTGTACAGTAAAGTCCTATTCTAGTCTGAGAGAAGCAGCAAACCGAAAATTATGAACATTATTTCAAATTTATGACTGACTTTTCTATCACATTGCAGAATATGTCAAATCAAATAATCTGGATAGCTTTACGATACAGTGCTGTCATGATTCTATGAATGTAAAGCCCAGGGGTCTGAATGTTTGTAGAATATTTGAATGCACAGGTTTGACCTTAAAATGATCATGAAAATTCATGTTTAAGTACTGATATAAAAAAGTGAGTGATGTGAAAATTTGTTCACACTGTAAAAAAATGCTTTGAAAATTTACAATTTTGAGTTCATTTAATTTTGAATTGTACATTAACAGACCAAGAATGTGTTTTATACCCTATCAACTTATTATAAGCTCAAATAATTCAACATTTCAAAGTAGCCTGGACCTTAACTTTTAAAACCTCCAATATAGTTTACAGTTCTTACACAAATTTATCATCAGACATACAAATGGCTACACACATTTGGGTGCGCAATTTGTGAACACAGTGTTTTATAAAGCAGTCATTCTCAGTCCTGAGAATTTATCTTAAGAACAAATTTAAAATGAAATTCAAGTGCATTTTATAAATGAAGCCCCAGGTCAGTTTTCTAAGTAGAAGTATTAGCTTTAACAAGAAACTTTACCACAAAAGTGAGGACAACTTAAATGACAATTTCTTGCAATTCAATTGCATAAAATCAGATTTTATGTCAACTAAGCTAAAAATTAGACGAATTCTGGACCAAAGTCACCATCTGATATTTTTCATGTACATATCTGCTGATACTGATACTGATACATACACATTTTACAAAATGTACAAATTGGGACTAGAATCACCTGGATTAACATTACGGAGACACGCAAAATGTATTTGTAGTGCAGTACAATGAAAAAATGCAGATATTTGTTGTATCCAAGTGTTGCCTGAAGGCTCTTTTCCTCTGGCGTACAATAAACGTATCATGAAATATCGGTTTGAAATCTAACAACTGCATCCCAAATAATAAAAAATAAATTGGGAGGTCAGATCTTTCAGTAATCTCAGAATATCTTTGAATATTTTCAAAGAATATTTAGACAAAGAATATTTTCAGAATATCTTTGACCTACATATGTATTTGTAAAAACTTCATAGCTTGTATAAGTCTATTCTAGCTACAATCCCAATAAGATTATCAGTTATAAGGTAATCATGCAATCACGATGCAGCTCAAAAATCAGCTTTTTTCGGCTGATAAGCTGAAAATAACATTACCAATAAATACAGCAAATGCTTGATGCATGAGTCACAGCTAAATGATATACAATACATCAAAAGAAGGATCATCTCTCTATGATGAACAGATATTTTTGGGAACCAATGTCATCCTATGATAAATAAAAACGTTATCTAACTGTGACATACGTAATCCTACCCACATTTTATGGAACAGGCATTCACTGAAAATTCAAATGGCGCTTGCATGCATATACCCACTGAAGAGAGCTTAACCTGAGGAAATGTAGTCTATAAATAAAGCCTTTTCTGTTTAGCAGTCCTGGGAGAACAATCTGTAGTCGTCTGAATGTGTTTTCAATAAGCAGCTAATGCAGTATTATGGCCCGGATCCATCGGCTACTGGATCTCACTCAGAACACATCCTTCCGTAAGTGTATCGGTAAAACTCCTTGTCGATGTTTTCCTTAACCATTACGGTAACACCAGAATAAACCATTAACTTTAATTAAAGAGATTCTAATAAATCCCACCATAAACCGAATTAGGAAAAGCCGTCATCTGCATAGGCTGCTCTACAGAGCCTTGATCCTCTGGATCTGGAACACAGTAACACAAGTGCAAAGTGCTGTATTGTGCGAAGGAACACAATGTTGCCCAGTGAGTGTTTGTGTGAAGGGCGCGCACTGCTAGGTCCCACGACGCAGCAGCACACCCAGGCCTATGGCGGAGAGTGTTGTGCATGCTAATGAGGTCATTATGTGGGTCTGTCTGGAGCTGGGCCCTGCGACTGAGGGATTTGCGTAGCCCAGGCTAGCTTGACTAGCCCGTCGCAGATGTCACAGATGGCACAGCCATCGGACGCTTTGTGACTGGAAAAAGCCACATTTCTTTCACTTTAAGCACTGGCTGCACTGGCTGCTAACACAGCTTAACATAAAGAGGAATGAATTGTAAAGTGCTACAAAAGACCTGAGTGGCAGGTAAGAGCTCCAAAGTGCTATAAAGCAGCTCACGAAGTGGAGCGCAGTAAATTACGTCTTTTTGTACGGCGGTCCTGCAGTAACAGTTGGGGGAAACAGCAATATGCAAATGCAATTATGAGCGATTTGCATGCGGGTGCTGATTAAGCAGATGGCTGGCGTTCAGGGCGGCGCCATCTTGGGTGAGGAGACAGCTGGCTGACAGTGGCGGCCATTTTGTCGGTGGCGCTGCCCAGCGTGGCATGTGTGTGAATGCTATACTGGCGGTCTGGCGCCAGATTTACTGTAGGGTGGGCACCCCAAATGCTAACAACGCTCTACGTAATGTCCTGACTATGGCTAGGCTACAAATTAGCCCACCATAACGTGACAAAGCCAGATGTTAAACAAGAAGGTCTAACGTTTCACTGCCCAAGAGACCCAGCTTTCTGCCAGAGCTGCTCGTCGTTGGCATATTCAGGATTTTTTTTCAAAGAAAGCAATTAGATATGCAAATATGGTTATGGCGCGTTAGCTAAGCACACATATGAGAAGAGATTTCACCCATTCAGTGCAGCACATGCTCATAAAATTGGCAAAAATGATGAGTAGGAGTCGAAAGGGAGAAACTGAAGAATCTCACAGAGAAGAAAACTGTCTAATAAGGGTGCACTGATGAAGGTTTATGGATGATTCTGATTTTGATTTCTTTACAGACAATTTTTTATAGAGAATTTTTTTTAAACCAACAAGCAACAGTAAAAAGACAACAACATTGCTTATTTGCACTGTACCTCAATCTTGCAATATGTGGGCTAAATGAATGCACTAATATGAAAAACATACAGGACTATGCAATAAAATTCAGCATGTGTACAAGTCTGGCTTTTACGTCATAGAATTATTACACAAATCAGCTAAAATAAAAATGAAATATGCAACTGCCAACTGCATGCTGGGAGTGAACATCGGCCCAATCTGATCCTGGCCGATTCTAATCATGTACTCCTGATGTCTTATGAGAGGAGAGTAAAGCCTTGCACAGGCAGATACAAAATCGGTGCTCACCATTTTGGATCCAGTTGGCTGAGAAAGTTGAGAAGGTTTTGGACTCCTCTCCTGGCAAGCTTCACTCCTCAAAGCATCCACAAGGACATGTATTACCCTGAGCATCATGAGTCCCTCAGTTCATTCCCATAAGTTCTGGAGGGGAGAAATGGAGCATTCCTCATGCCAAATGGAAAATTGTATTAGCATTAGGCTAAGGACCAATATTCTGAAAACTCATGACTTTTTGGAGCTTGGTCCACTCTGCCCTCCCTTTCAACCTGATCTTATCAAAAGTAGCACTGCAGAGGTCCATGGAGCAGCAATTTTGCAGTACGTACATGAGGGCAGTGCCAAGCCTCTTGATGTGGATCAAAACCAAAGCCTTTTTCAGAAGCTCTCAGAGTATTTTAAAAAAAATCATCTAATTTAATCTACAACTGAAAAGGTGAAAAAATGTCCTTAAAAATGGGAAAAAAGAGAAAAGTTCAAGTTGTCCTCTCTTGCCAGCTCATCTGATGTAGAGCACTTTGTACATGCTTGGAGGAGGGCCCGTAAAAAAAAGAAGGCCTCCTCAATTCACAGTAAGAGGGATCCTCCGTCAAGCGCTCATTCAAACAGTCACAGGGAATGTGCACTTACGGAAAAAAGGAATCGAGGAGGGTGGGGGGGAGAAAAAAAAAGGACCTTTGACACTCTTTTTCTACTCGTTCTCCTCACAGACAAAGTTTTATCAAGTGGTGCTGGGGCTGGAAAGTCCCTCCGGCGGAACCACACACATATACATACGCGCACAAACTCTCTCTTGCTCTTTCACATGGAGCATCGTTGGTGCTTCTGGCCCTCTCTCTCTCTCTCAGGCTGATGTGAGTTGACTGGGAGCGGGTAGGGCGAGGGATAGGCGAGCGTTTTGGAATCCCACGGTGCCGCGGCCGGAGGCTGCGTTGGGCGACCCCTGGCAGCCTCTTTCCTCCGCATCGATTTCCCTCCCTCCTCGGTGCCGCCGAGCCGCTAGCCGGCGGGCGCAGCAGCCCGCCTCTGCCTGCCCACTCCAGCGCTCGCTGGCTGGCCCCTGCCGTCTCCTCGGAACCTCCGAGACAGAGAAGCCAAGGGGAAAAAAAGAAGAGAGAGAGCCCATGGCGGTCCACAGCTGTGTTCACCTGCTCCTGAGTTCACTCCATTCTCCATCCTCCAACTCCTACTCCATCCGCTATCATCATCGTTCCCTCGTCCTCCGCTCCTCCTGCCAACAAATAACAACGTGGATGGGTGGGGGGTGGTGGGAGAAAAAAAAACAAACAAGTTCAGCTTAACTTTCACCATCTGGCCCATTCCGAGTGTCAATCCGCGACTTTGATCAGAGAGATGTGCAAGGTGAATGTTTTGGCATCTGCTCACACTCTGTGAGGTGAACTTCCTAACCCCCAGATTTAAAAAAGGCTGAAGCCAGAGATTTTTTTTCCAGTTAAGCACGCCAGGCTGAAAGAAAGCGCCTGCCGAGTGCACTTACAGCTGAGCCACTATACCTGACGTTTCTCTGCTTGCAGTAAGAACTGACTTTTTACTAGAGATGCACTGATTCAGCGTCCTCTCCTGAAACTAGGGGTGTAAATAGACCTGGGCAATATGACAATATTTATCATTATCATGATAAATTAAGTCACAATGTCACAATATGCTTTTCTGAGCATATCGTAAAGCTAGTCGGTACTTAAAAAAAACACTTTCCAACTGCATGTTTGATGAAAAAAAGAGCATAATTAGTCTTGTTTAATTGGATTTATAGTACAGTATAATGTTAAAGACAATGAAATGTTAAAGACAAATTGCTGGATTTAAGGCAGATATTGGACAGTTTTTATAATGTATTTTAAATGTGGCACTATTTTGTTTGTTACAACTTGTCAGATACAAGAAAAATAAATATCATGACATATTGTGTCTCGTGAAAACTACTACAAATTGTTCACCTCTAGTGTAGTGATATATATCGCAGCTGTCGGAACAAAACCTCGTATCTCCAAAATAGTAACTTTACAGGAGAATGAACAAACATACTTTACTTTTAATGTGAGTCAATGGAACCAGACATTTTTCTAAGTCATTTTGGGCTGTTTCTTTTGATCCATTCATCATGAAATTTACACACAACGTGAAGGGCAACAGGCATTTTCAAATTATGTCAAAAACGGAAAAGTGACAAAAATGGACATACAAGGTTTTGTTTGTCTTTTTTTGTTTACTGTATTCAATTATTAAAGTACAAGTCTAATGTGGCCTAACTGGCTGTCTCGCTTTTCTGCTAATAAGACTTAATAGCTCCCAACTGGTGACAGAAACAGCTGAAGCTCAAATAAACAAACTACACCAACCACTGCCCTCTACAGGTGTTACAGCAGCAGCCAGAAGTTACCCTTGACATGTCTCAATAAATGTGTTTTTTGCATTAACCCACCTGTTGAAAACACATTCAATTCACATTCAGTTTGTGAAACATGTGATTGTGAAAGCTAACACCTGTGGATATTACTGCAGTCAGCTAAAATAATAGCAATCATCCCAAAAAACTGCAATCAGGCGATTATGTAATATTTGTGACAGGCCTAATTGAATGTGTTCAAATGTCTATTCTACAGAGCTCTAATTATATACGACACAGATTGTTTTGGCTCAAACTGATATGGCTACATAGTGTAAACCTGTTCAGTTTACAGGTAGTTTTACAATTTGAAATTCCAATACACCGTTTTAAAAGTTCAAGCTTTCATTAGTGTATCCAAACCACTAAACCCAATATCAGTTCCAATATCTGAACCCAGGGTATTCTCCAGTATTGAGTATATATTCCATACAGTATTCTGTTAAGGCAGTGTTTTTTTTGTAGTAGCAGTGTTCATAAATATAGAGGCTAATGTACCAGTAACTACTTACATGCACATAAAGGCCCAACAAAGTTCTTAGTCTAACAAACTAGACTGAACCAAGACATTTACAAGAGCTGTATAAAAGACCAGCCCATTTATAGCCCCGTTTACATGCATACCAGCACAGTCTGACTTGACAACATGAGACGCCTCCTTCATGATGTATTTCAGTTTATCCACATATGTGGTTCCCATCATTTAAAAATATCTGTGTTCCTTTTTCCCCCTTAAACATCTAATTATGTCTATTTCAGACTAAATGTTTAATATGAGGGACGTCTCTTCCTCTGAAAAACTCTGAGCCTTTTCTCCTTTTGTCACTCATATTTACAGAAGTCAGTGAAGTGAGCTAAGCATGTCTAAAATCTCAATAAATCTCAATAAATCTTCAGCTAAAGTTAGGATAACCACCACAATGTTTACATGATCACAGTGTAGTTAGACTAGCGGCCTTAGTTAGACTAACAACGAACCACTGGTGTGCATGAAAAAACGTTGTTATTGAAGGGACAGTCATACAGCAAAATTATTTTTTAAAATTTTCAAATTACACTGTTTTGGACATTTATAAAACTGCACTTTTGCAAAATTACAATTCTGTAATGTCCCTTACTAAGAAACCAAATCAACTCACATTAAATCTAAATCCGTCAGTTAAATGTAAACTAGTCTGGTGTGTGAACCGATGCATCACTACATTTTTCTTGGCAAAAAAAAACAACCTTTTTTTGCATGTTAAATATAGATAACAACAAAACTATGACGCAATTTGAAACTAGCAATACATTTCTTTCAGGCCTTTATCGTGTCCGAAATTATTCAAATGATTTCAGAGGTCTGCTATCATGCAAATGAGTGAGAAGGATATTCCTTTATGGACTCTCAGCCCTATTGTGTCCATAAACTGAAAAAAAAAATCCTTCATGCAAACTAGCCCCCCCTTCCCCCCCACCGGTGTGTACACAGTTCTTCAAATTTGTATCAATATTTAGCATCAAACAAATACATTAAAAAAAACAGTTTATTTATCTGACATAAAATGAAGAGATAAAGCAGTAGGAGTAGTTTGTTAAGACACAGTTGACACAGTGAGCTGGAGAAGATATGGGAGCTGGGAAAATGGGGCAGGGGGGCACCCGTAGCTGGGATAGAAGGGTGGTCAAGTGGGGGAGCGGGGTGGAACTGGGGGCGAGCTGTGTGTCTCAGACACAATAATACTATTCATTGGGCTCAGACATGGGTGTTAACTCCCCTCTGGCTGCACACAATGGGGCTCGGTGGCATTGAGACAGCTTCGGCGATGCTGTTAGTTCAGGGGGCTGCGCTCGGCCAGCCGCGGGAGAAAGCGCCAGCATTGTGGCTGAGCGGCAGGATGGATGGAGAGGTGAAAGGCAAAGAAAGAGAGAACAGAGCGTTTGTCTTTCTCTCAGTTCAGAGGGAGGGGTGCAGGGCCAGTGTGGAGGGAGGAGTGAGAGGGGGTACGACGGTTTGCCCCATGGCATTGGACTTGGGAAGGGAGGAAAAAAAAAAAAAGAAAAAGAGAGAAAGCTATTGCGATATAAATGTTATTGAAGCAGCCCAGCAAGGAACTAAAGAGACGTCGTCTGAGGGAGGGGGACGAGTGGAGGAAAAAAAATAAGAGGGGGACCCCGAAATGAAGGCGTTCATTTTGGGATGGCGTTTGGAGGCGGAGCTTGTGTTCCAGAAGCCTGTTTAGGTATATTTCATGCCCCGCCATAGTTAAAGCACAAGGGACAATACAATGAGGCTGCACGCCGAAGGGGGAGAAAATACAGAGAGCATGCAAACAGGAGAGAGAAAACAAGAGGGGGGGGTCAGCGAAAGAGAGAGCTGCTGCAGTTGCCTCATGGTCAAGATCAGGCGCTGACGTCCAACTACCGCGAGATGTACTTTCCCCCATCCCTTCTGCCTTCTGAGTCTCGGGATGGAGTTCAGGAGAAGGTAGATAAAAAAGGAAAAAGGGGAGGGGAGAAGGACTGACTGGGGGGGGGGTCACAAGCGTTAGCATGGGTGTCCAACATTAGCAGTGCACCAAACACAGGAACTATCCAGTACAGCAGAACTAATAACTAACGTTCAGCGTTGGCAAGCCTCCCTGCAGCCTGTGGGCACATAGAGCATTAGACAAAGATGGAATATGTTAAAAACGTGAGCTTTCACTGATGGGCAAAAGGTTTCTGAAAGGTCGCACAGAGCAACAACACGGGCTGTTAAATACGGCTCAAATATGGTTTCACTAGCAGCGCATCTAAAATGCCCTGGCTGGCACTGTGGGTCCTCAGGGTGAGCTTTTACTTATAACATCTTATCAAGTAACTGATTATGCTTGCAAAGAGAATCTATCAAAGCAACAGTGCAGGCTTTACAATAGCACGTTTCTGTGCAGTACTTTGATCTAATCACCCCTAAACGTAGGTTGCATGCATTGTACTCAAATGAAGGCTTGTGTGATTCTCCCCACGGATCGGCTACACACAAGTACGGATACGTAGAGACACATTTTCACAAATAAGCACACACACACATGCACACTGCTCTAGTAGGCGGGTATCTGTATCGTGCCCAACCTGCTTTTTACGAGCACCACTTTGTTTGTTTCCCTTCTGGTTAACACTCAGTATTTGTTCCCATGGCAACCTGGCCTCCTCTCCTGCCTCTGACTGACGGCAAGCCAGCAAAGGCGAAGCCCCAGCGAGGCCACGCCCCCTGATTTCTCCACAAAACCACGATGTATAAACACTTCCTTGGCCCAGTCCAACAACAATCAGATATTTTTGTTTATAATAATGATAATAATAATAATTGCTATTGTTATTATTATTAATAACAAGAGAACAAAGAAGTAAGACTGTTGTTTTTGTTATTTTTTTATTCTCCTTCTTTTTCAACTCAATTGACCAGTACTAAATATAAAGAACAAACTTACACTGCACTGTGAAGACCAAAGGTGCCCAAACTTTTTGTCTTGGTGGGCCAAAGTGCAATGTCTGTGTTAGACTGAGGGCCAAAAAGACAAAGCAGTATACAAACAGGGTGGGCTTCTAATTTATTTTTTTAAATGTATTTATTCATATAAGAATTTATATACAATATAAAAATATGTTCATTGTCACTGGGTAGGGGGTGAGGTCAAGGTAACTTTCTGGTGGGCAAAATCAAACGTCCTCACAGGCCAGCTTTGACCTGTGGGCCACACTTTTGGCAGCCCTGATCTAGACTGTTCTCTGAGACAGTACTAGTACTAAATATAAAGGACAAATCTAAACAGTATTGTGAGACAGTACTGGTACTAAATAAA